TGATTTCCCCGTTTTACGTTTGTTGTGGAAAATTTATACTTTTTTGTGTAATAAACCTATCAATATTTTTTTAAAAATAACGGCACAACTCATCAAGCTGAAATTTTTACAGCAGGCAGTTGGTAATGACTTCTACTTGTAGAAAAAATTTCAGGCCAATCTGATGTTTGTTGTTTGAGATAGAGTGATTTCCCCGTTTTACGTTTGTTGTGGAATAATTATACTTTTTTGTGTAATAAACCTATCACTATTTTTTAAAAATTAACGGCACAACTCATCAAGCTGAAATTTTCTCTGAAGGCAGATGGTAATGACTTCTACTTGTAGAAAAAATTTCAGGCCAATCTGATGTTTGTTGTTTGAGATAGAGTGATTTCCCCGTTTTACGTTTGTTGTGGAAAATTTATACTTTTTTGTGTAATAAACCTATCAATATTTTTTAAAAAATAACGGCACAGCTCATTAAGCTGAAATTTTTATCTGAAGGCAGATGGTAATGACTTCTACTTGTAGAAAAAATTTCAGGCCAATCTGATGTTTGTTGTTTGAGATAGAGTGATTTCCCCGTTTTACGTTTGTTGTGGAAAATTTATACTTTTTTGTGTAATAAACCTATCACTATTTTTTAAAAATTAACGGCACAACTCATCAAGCTGAAATTTTTACAGTAGGCAGTTGGTAATGACTTCTACTTGTAGAAAAAATTTCAGGCCAATCTGACGGTTGGGGTTAGAGATAGAGTGATTTCCCCGGTTTACTTTTGTTGTGGAAAACATTAATTGAAGATTTTTAACAAAAGAAAAGCAGTATTCATATAGGACATTAAAAACATCTCGGCTTGTTGGTTGTTCTAAGTAACGTTCAACCTGCTTGCAAACGGGGTGATCGGGTTTAGAATCGAAAAAAAAATCGGCGTGGAAACTAACTTATTAAAAAGGGGAAGCCTGGCTCAAAGTTTCCCCATGTGACACGGCAATGAGTCTTAGCACCTGAAATCTGATGTCTGTGTTAGGGAATCTGAACTTTTTTTTTTTTTTTTTTTTTTTTTTTTTTGCGCTTTGTAGTGACTACTCCATAATGGTTGAGTTTGCAATAATTTCTACTTGAAGAAACAATTTCAGGCCAATCTGAAGGTTGGGGTTAGAGATAGAGCGATTTGCCTGTTTTACTCTTGTGTAATAAATCTATTACGATTTTTTTAAATAAACGGCGCAACTTATCAAGCCGAAATTTTCACAGAAGGCAGTTGGTAATGACTTCTACTTGTAGAAAAAATTTCAGGCCAATCTGATGTTTGTTGTTTGAGATAGAGTGATTTCCCCGTTTTACGTTTGTTGTGGAATAATTATACTTTTTTGTGTAATAAACCTATCACTATTTTTTAAAAATTAACGGCGCAGTTTATCAAGCTGAAATTTTCACAGAAGGCAGTTGGTAATGACTTCTACTTGTAGAAAAAAATTCAGGCCAATCTGATGTTTGTTGTTTGAGATAGAGTGATTTCCCCGTTTTACGTTTGTTGTGGAAAATTTATACTTTTTTGTGTAATAAACCTATCAATATTTTTTAAAAAATAACGGCACAGCTCATCAAGCTGAAATTTTCTCTGAAGGCAGATGGTAATGACTTCTACTTGTAGAAAAAATTTCAGGCCAATCTGATGTTTGTTGTTTGAGATAGAGTGATTTCCCCGTTTTACGTTTGTTGTGGAATAATTATACTTTTTTGTGTAATAAACCTATCACTATTTTTTAAAAATTAACGGCGCAACTCATCACTCAACATCATCATTTTGTGTAATAAACCTATCACTATTTTTTTTAAATTAACGGCACAACTCATCAAGCTGAAATTTTCTCTGAAGGCAGATGGTAATGACTTCTACTTGTAGAAAAAATTTCAGGCCAATCTGATGTTTGTTGTTTGAGATAGAGTGATTTCCCCGTTTTACGTTTGTTGTGGAAAATTTATACTTTTTTGTGTAATAAACCTATCACTATTTTTTAAAAATTAACGGCGCAGTTACTCAAGCTGAAATTTTCACAGAAGGCAGTTGGTAATGACTTCTACTTGTAGAAAAAATTTCAGGCCAATCTGATGTTTGTTGTTTGAGATAGAGTGATTTCCCCGTTTTACGTTTGTTGTGGAAAATTTATACTTTTTTGTGTAATAAACCTATCACTATTTTTTTTAAATTAACGGCACAACTCATCAAGCTGAAATTTTCTCTGAAGGCAGATGGTAATGACTTCTACTTGTAGAAAAAATTTCAGGCCAATCTGATGTTTGTTGTTTGAGATAGAGTGATTTCCCCGTTTTACGTTTGTTGTGGAAAATTTATACTTTTTTGTGTAATAAACCTATCAATATTTTTTAAAAAATAACGGCAAAACTCATCAAGCTGAAATTTTCTCTGAAGGCAGATGGTAATGACTTCTACTTGTAGAAAAAATTTCAGGCCAATCTGATGTTTGTTGTTTGAGATAGAGTGATTTCCCCGTTTTACGTTTGTTGTGGAATAATTATACTTTTTTGTGTAATAAACCTATCACTATTTTTTAAAAATTAACGGCGCAACTCATCAAGCTGAAATTTTCTCTGAAGGCAGATGGTAATGACTTCTACTTGTAGAAAAAATTTCAGGCCAATCTGATGTTTGTTGTTTGAGATAGAGTGATTTCCCCGTTTTACGTTTGTTGTGGAATAATTATACTTTTTTGTGTAATAAACCTATCACTATTTTTTTTAAATTAACGGCACAACTCATCAAGCTGAAATTTTCTCTGAAGGCAGATGGTAATGACTTCTACTTGTAGAAAAAATTTCAGGCCAATCTGATGTTTGTTGTTTGAGATAGAGTGATTTCCCCGTTTTACGTTTGTTGTGGAAAATTTATACTTTTTTGTGTAATAAACCTATCAATATTTTTTTAAAAATAACGGCACAGCTCATCAAGCTGAAATTTTCTCTGAAGGCAGATGGTAATGACTTCTACTTGTAGAAAAAATTTCAGGCCAATCTGATGTTTGTTGTTTGAGATAGAGTGATTTCCCCGTTTTACGTTTGTTGTGGAAAATTTATACTTTTTTGTGTAATAAACCTATCACTATTTTTTAAAAATTAACGGCACAACTCATCAAGCTGAAATTTTTACAGTAGGCAGTTGGTAATGACTTCTACTTGTAGAAAAAATTTCAGGCCAATCTGACGGTTGGGGTTAGAGATAGAGTGATTTCCCCGGTTTACTTTTGTTGTGGAAAACATTAATTGAAGATTTTTAACAAAAGAAAAGCAGTATTCATATAGGACATTAAAAACATCTCGGATTGTTGGTTGTTCTTAGTAACGTTCAACCTGCTTGCAAACGGGGTGATCGGGTTTAGAATCGAAAAAAAAAAATCGGCGTGGAAACTAACTTATTAAAAAGGGGAAGCCTGGCTCAAAGTTTCCCCATGTGACACGGCAATGAGTCTTAGCACCTGAAATCTGATGTCTGTGTTAGGGAATCTGAACTTTTTTTTTTTTTTTTTTTTTGCGCTTTGTAGTGACTACTCCATAATGGTTGAGTTTGCAATAATTTCTACTTGTAGAAACAATTTCAGGCCAATCTGAAGGTTGGGGTTAGAGATAGAGCGATTTGCCTGTTTTACTCTTGTGTAATAAATCTATTACGATTTTTTTAAATAAACGGCGCAACTTATCAAGCCGAAATTTTCACAGAAGGCAGTTGGTAATGACTTCTACTTGTAGAAAAAATTTCAGGCCAATCTGATGTTTGTTGTTTGAGATAGAGTGATTTCCCCGTTTTACGTTTGTTGTGGAATAATTATACTTTTTTGTGTAATAAACCTATCACTATTTTTTAAAAATTAACGGCACAGTTTATCAAGCTGAAATTTTCACAGAAGGCAGTTGGTAATGACTTCTACTTGTAGAAAAAAATTCAGGCCAATCTGATGTTTGTTGTTTGAGATAGAGTGATTTCCCCGTTTTACGTTTGTTGTGGAAAATTTATACTTTTTTGTGTAATAAACCTATAAATATTTTTTAAAAAATAACGGCACAACTCATCAAGCTGAAATTTTTACAGCAGGCAGTTGGTAATGACTTCTACTTGTAGAAAAAATTTCAGGCCAATCTGATGTTTGTTGTTTGAGATAGAGTGATTTCCCCGTTTTACGTTTGTTGTGGAATAATTATACTTTTTTGTGTAATAAACCTATCACTATTTTTTAAAAATTAACGGCGCAACTCATCAAGCTGAAATTTTCTCTGAAGGCAGATGGTAATGACTTCTACTTGTAGAAAAAATTTCAGGCCAATCTGATGTTTGTTGTTTGAGATAGAGTGATTTCCCCGTTTTACGTTTGTTGTGGAATAATTATACTTTTTTGTGTAATAAACCTATCACTATTTTTTAAAAATTAACGGCACAACTCATCAAGCTGAAATTTTCTCTGAAGGCAGATGGTAATGACTTCTACTTGTAGAAAAAATTTCAGGCTAATCTGATGTTTGTTGTTTGAGATAGAGTGATTTCCCCGTTTTACGTTTGTTGTGGAAAATTTATACTTTTGTGTGTAATAAACCTATCAATATTTTTTAAAAAATAACGGCACAACTCATCAAGCTGAAATTTGTACAGCAGGCAGTTGGTTATGACTTCTACTTGTAGAAAAAATTTCAGGCCAATCAGACGGTTGGGGTTAGAGATAGAGTGATTTCCCCGGTTTACTTTTGTTGTGGAAAACATTAATTGAAGATTTTTAACAAAAGAAAAGCAGTATTCATATAGGACATTAAAAACATCTCGGATTGTTGGTTGTTCTTAGTAACGTTCAACCTGCTTGCAAACGGGGTGATCGGGTTTAGAATCGGAAAAAAAATCGGCGTGGAAACTAACTTATTAAAAAGGGGAAGCCTGGCTCAAAGTTTCCCCATGAGACACGGCAATGAGTCTTAGGACCTGAAATCTGATGTCTGTGTTAGGGAATCTGAACTTTTTTTTTTTTTTTTTTTTTTTTTTTTTTTTTTTTTTTTTTTTTTTTTTTTTTTTTTTTTTTTGCGCTTTGTAGTGACTACTCCATAATGGTTGAGTTTGCAATAATTTCTACTTGTAGAAACAATTTCAGGCCAATCTGAAGGTTGGGGTTAGAGATAGAGCGATTTGCCTGTTTTACTCTTGTGTAATAAATCTATTACGATTTTTTTAAATAAACGGCGCAACTTATCAAGCCGAAATTTTCACAGAAGGCAGTTGGTAATGACTTCTACTTGTAGAAAAAATTTCAGGCCAATCTGATGTTTGTTGTTTGAGATAGAGTGATTTCCCCGTTTTACGTTTGTTGTGGAATAATTATACTTTTTTGTGTAATAAACCTATCACTATTTTTTAAAAATTAACGGCACAGCTCATCAAGCTGAAATTTTCTCTGAAGGCAGATGGTAATGACTTCTACTTGTAGAAAAAATTTCAGGCCAATCTGATGTTTGTTGTTTGAGATAGAGTGATTTCCCCGTTTTACGTTTGTTGTGGAATAATTATACTTTTTTGTGTAATAAACCTATCACTATTTTTTTTAAATTAACGGCACAACTCATCAAGCTGAAATTTTCTCTGAAGGCAGATGGTAATGACTTCTACTTGTAGAAAAAATTTCAGGCCAATCTGATGTTTGTTGTTTGAGATAGAGTGATTTCCCCGGTTTACTTTTGTTGTGGAAAACATTAATTGAAGATTTTTAACAAAAGAAAAGCAGTATTCATATAGGACATTAAAAACATCTCGGATTGTTGGTTGTTCTTAGTAACGTTCAACCTGCTTGCAAACGGGGTGATCGGGTTTAGAATCGAAAAAAAAAATCGGCGTGGAAACTAACTTATTAAAAAGGGGAAGCCTGGCTCAAAGTTTCCCCATGAGACACGGCAATGAGTCTTAGCACCTGAAATCTGATGTCTGTGTTAGGGAATCTGAACTTTTTTTTTTTTTTTTTTTTTTGCGCTTTGTAGTGACTACTCCATAATGGTTGAGTTTGCAATAATTTCTACTTGTAGAAACAATTTCAGGCCAATCTGAAGGTTGGGGTTAGAGATAGAGCGATTTGCCTGTTTTACTCTTGTGTAATAAATCTATTACGATTTTTTTAAATAAACGGCGCAACTTATCAAGCCGAAATTTTCACAGAAGGCAGTTGGTAATGACTTCTACTTGTAGAAAAAATTTCAGGCCAATCTGATGTTTGTTGTTTGAGATAGAGTGATTTCCCCGTTTTACGTTTGTTGTGGAATAATTATACTTTTTTGTGTAATAAACCTATCACTATTTTTTAAAAATTAACGGCACAGTTTATCAAGCTGAAATTTTCACAGAAGGCAGTTGGTAATGACTTCTACTTGTAGAAAAAAATTCAGGCCAATCTGATGTTTGTTGTTTGAGATAGAGTGATTTCCCCGTTTTACGTTTGTTGTGGAAAATTTATACTTTTTTGTGTAATAAACCTATCAATATTTTTTAAAAAATAACGGCACAACTCATCAAGCTGAAATTTTTACAGCAGGCAGTTGGTAATGACTTCTACTTGTAGAAAAAATTTCAGGCCAATCTGATGTTTGTTGTTTGAGATAGAGTGATTTCCCCGTTTTACGTTTGTTGTGGAATAATTATACTTTTTTGTGTAATAAACCTATCACTATTTTTTAAAAATTAACGGCGCAACTCATCAAGCTGAAATTTTCTCTGAAGGCAGATGGTAATGACTTCTACTTGTAGAAAAAATTTCAGGCCAATCTGATGTTTGTTGTTTGAGATAGAGTGATTTCCCCGTTTTACGTTTGTTGTGGAATAATTATACTTTTTTGTGTAATAAACCTATCACTATTTTTTAAAAATTAACGGCACAACTCATCAAGCTGAAATTTTCTCTGAAGGCAGATGGTAATGACTTCTACTTGTAGAAAAAATTTCAGGCTAATCTGATGTTTGTTGTTTGAGATAGAGTGATTTCCCCGTTTTACGTTTGTTGTGGAAAATTTATACTTTTGTGTGTAATAAACCTATCAATATTTTTTAAAAAATAACGGCACAACTCATCAAGCTGAAATTTGTACAGCAGGCAGTTGGTTATGACTTCTACTTGTAGAAAAAATTTCAGGCCAATCTGACGGTTGGGGTTAGAGATAGAGTGATTTCCCCGGTTTACTTTTGTTGTGGAAAACATTAATTGAAGATTTTTAACAAAAGAAAAGCAGTATTCATATAGGACATTAAAAACATCTCGGATTGTTGGTTGTTCTTAGTAACGTTCAACCTGCTTGCAAACGGGGTGATCGGGTTTAGAATCGGAAAAAAAATCGGCGTGGAAACTAACTTATTAAAAAGGGGAAGCCTGGCTCAAAGTTTCCCCATGAGACACGGCAATGAGTCTTAGGACCTGAAATCTGATGTCTGTGTTAGGGAATCTGAACTTTTTTTTTTTTTTTTTTTTTTTTTTTTTTTTTTTTTTTTTTTTTTTTTGCGCTTTGTAGTGACTACTCCATAATGGTTGAGTTTGCAATAATTTCTACTTGTAGAAACAATTTCAGGCCAATCTGAAGGTTGGGGTTAGAGATAGAGCGATTTGCCTGTTTTACTCTTGTGTAATAAATCTATTACGATTTTTTTAAATAAACGGCGCAACTTATCAAGCCGAAATTTTCACAGAAGGCAGTTGGTAATGACTTCTACTTGTAGAAAAAATTTCAGGCCAATCTGATGTTTGTTGTTTGAGATAGAGTGATTTCCCCGTTTTACGTTTGTTGTGGAATAATTATACTTTTTTGTGTAATAAACCTATCACTATTTTTTAAAAATTAACGGCACAGCTCATCAAGCTGAAATTTTCTCTGAAGGCAGATGGTAATGACTTCTACTTGTAGAAAAAATTTCAGGCCAATCTGATGTTTGTTGTTTGAGATAGAGTGATTTCCCCGTTTTACGTTTGTTGTGGAATAATTATACTTTTTTGTGTAATAAACCTATCACTATTTTTTTTAAATTAACGGCACAACTCATCAAGCTGAAATTTTCTCTGAAGGCAGATGGTAATGACTTCTACTTGTAGAAAAAATTTCAGGCCAATCTGATGTTTGTTGTTTGAGATAGAGTGATTTCCCCGGTTTACTTTTGTTGTGGAAAACATTAATTGAAGATTTTTAACAAAAGAAAAGCAGTATTCATATAGGACATTAAAAACATCTCGGATTGTTGGTTGTTCTTAGTAACGTTCAACCTGCTTGCAAACGGGGTGATCGGGTTTAGAATCGAAAAAAAAAAATCGGCGTGGAAACTAACCTATTAAAAAGGGGAAGCCTGGCTCAAAGTTTCCCCATGAGACACGGCAATGAGTCTTAGCACCTGAAATCTGATGTCTGTGTTAGGGAATCTGAACTTTTTTTTTTTTTTTTTTTTTTGCGCTTTGTAGTGACTACTCCATAATGGTTGAGTTTGCAATAATTTCTACTTGTAGAAACAATTTCAGGCCAATCTGAAGGTTGGGGTTAGAGATAGAGCGATTTGCCTGTTTTACTCTTGTGTAATAAATCTATTACGATTTTTTTAAATAAACGGCGCAACTTATCAAGCCGAAATTTTCACAGAAGGCAGTTGGTAATGACTTCTACTTGTAGAAAAAATTTCAGGCCAATCTGATGTTTGTTGTTTGAGATAGAGTGATTTCCCCGTTTTACGTTTGTTGTGGAATAATTATACTTTTTTGTGTAATAAACCTATCACTATTTTTTAAAAATTAACGGCACAGTTTATCAAGCTGAAATTTTCACAGAAGGCAGTTGGTAATGACTTCTACTTGTAGAAAAAAATTCAGGCCAATCTGATGTTTGTTGTTTGAGATAGAGTGATTTCCCCGTTTTACGTTTGTTGTGGAAAATTTATACTTTTTTGTGTAATAAACCTATCAATATTTTTTAAAAAATAACGGCACAACTCATCAAGCTGAAATTTTTACAGCAGGCAGTTGGTAATGACTTCTACTTGTAGAAAAAATTTCAGGCCAATCTGATGTTTGTTGTTTGAGATAGAGTGATTTCCCCGTTTTACGTTTGTTGTGGAATAATTATACTTTTTTGTGTAATAAACCTATCACTATTTTTTAAAAATTAACGGCGCAACTCATCAAGCTGAAATTTTCTCTGAAGGCAGATGGTAATGACTTCTACTTGTAGAAAAAATTTCAGGCCAATCTGATGTTTGTTGTTTGAGATAGAGTGATTTCCCCGTTTTACGTTTGTTGTGGAATAATTATACTTTTTTGTGTAATAAACCTATCACTATTTTTTAAAAATTAACGGCACAACTCATCAAGCTGAAATTTTCTCTGAAGGCAGATGGTAATGACTTCTACTTGTAGAAAAAATTTCAGGCTAATCTGATGTTTGTTGTTTGAGATAGAGTGATTTCCCCGTTTTACGTTTGTTGTGGAAAATTTATACTTTTGTGTGTAATAAACCTATCAATATTTTTTAAAAAATAACGGCACAACTCATCAAGCTGAAATTTGTACAGCAGGCAGTTGGTTATGACTTCTACTTGTAGAAAAAATTTCAGGCCAATCTGACGGTTGGGGTTAGAGATAGAGTGATTTCCCCGGTTTACTTTTGTTGTGGAAAACATTAATTGAAGATTTTTAACAAAAGAAAAGCAGTATTCATATAGGACATTAAAAACATCTCGGATTGTTGGTTGTTCTTAGTAACGTTCAACCTGCTTGCAAACGGGGTGATCGGGTTTAGAATCGAAAAAAAAAATCGGCGTGGAAACTAACTTATTAAAAAGGGGAAGCCTGGCTCAAAGTTTCCCCATGAGACACGGCAATGAGTCTTAGGACCTGAAATCTGATGTCTGTGTTAGGGAATCTGAACTTTTTTTTTTTTTTTTTTTTTTTTTTTTTTTTTGCGCTTTGTAGTGACTACTCCATAATGGTTGAGTTTGCAATAATTTCTACTTGTAGAAACAATTTCAGGCCAATCTGAAGGTTGGGGTTAGAGATAGAGCGATTTGCCTGTTTTACTCTTGTGTAATAAA